GCTCATTCTGTATTTTTCTTTGTTAGACCTGTCAAAGGGTTGTACTACTTGTACATTATGGTATCCATAATGGATGACATAATGTACAGGTGGCAGTACATTATTGGAGGGTGTGCTGGCCCATCGGCACACCCTCCAATAGGATAATTCCACTTGTACATTATGTCATCCATTATGGATGGCATAATGTACAAGTAGAATTATCCTAATCCAATTTTGCCATTTTTAGTAAAGCAAGTGCTAAAAGAAAAATGAGTAATGGGTCTTTGCTTGAAAACTATTTGATTTTGGTAGTATACACACAAATATTTACTAGAGAGAGAGAGAGAGAGAGGCCTGGGTTTTGATTACTGTGGTATTTGGAGGCAATAGGTTGATTTTGCTATTTGTCTGGTAATGCTAAACAAATATGCAGATGGATGAACAGGAGAGAGAATTTCAAAAATCAATTTATTATTATTTTTTGTTTAAAAGATTCTAATCTTAGAATGCCTGCTTTGATACCAATTGTTGATAATTTCATAGTAATCATGTTAAGAATAAGAATCACATATATTCCAATTGATAGTTCGAAATTTATACATGTGGAAGACATTTTTATGTATAAATATTACCAACTCGATTTTCCTCTCCTTGCTCCTCAAAAAATAATCGATTGTCAATGGGGCAAGCCAAAACCATAAAGAGAGGGGAGGAGACCTAGCCATTATATAGGAAATTAAAAAATCGGTCAATTACCGACTCTAACCCTAATTAGAGTTTACAACATTCCAGCGCACATACTTAAAATTAGCACATTATAAATAATAAAGCATGTAAGGTGTACAACGACCCAAGTGATCACTAATATATTGAGCCTAATTATAGTATCATTGCAAACTGTACATCTAACCCGTAAAATTCGAAATCAAATGGAATCCCATATAATAGAATTATTCCAAGGCCCTGTTTGATAGATGCCATTTTCCATGGAAGTTGGAATATATTTTCCAACTTTTCACTTTTTGCCATGTTTGATAGGTAAATTATTCAACGGAATTTGTTTTCCACCTAAACCTCACGTGATTGGCTTTTTCTTGTTTTTGAGGAATTGGTTTTCCCACCACTATAGTGGGAATTGGGATTTTCCAATTTTTTTTTTTTTTTGCAATAAAAACAAATTCTTTGGACAAAAAAAAAAAATTCCCTCTAATGGACAATTTTTATGGAAAACAAGCCAAACGAATACCAAAAGATCAAAATTTCAGCATTTTCAGGTGAAAAATTATATCAATCAAACACAATTAATTGACAATTTCCAATAAAATGAATTTTAGGCAATTTAATTCCCTGAAATTCGTTTTCTTTTCATCCAAATTCCACTATTGCAATCAAACGGACCCTAACAGTATATACATTTAAACAAATGAGGTGTAAGTGAACCAACATGAAATTTAATTAATTTGAATTAATAGATATATAAAAATAATAATTTATGTACATTTAAACAAAGGGAGGTATATGAAGCAACATGAAATTTAATTAATTTGAATAAATAAATATAGAAAAAGAATAAT